GCCGTTCTGCCAACCGGCTGCTCAAGCAAAGCCTACGCAAGGATCGCGAAACATGGTGGTCTGAACGTGCTTTAGAGATGGAGACCGCTGCCCTCTCTGGCAACACTCGCAGGCTTTTCCAACTCATTCGGTCCACTGGCCTCAGGAAACCTGGTGTCAGTGAGGTCATTTGTGAGGTGGATGAGTCTCCGATCACCAACCAACAGAGGCGTATGGACCGTTGGGCCGAGCACTTTCACTCGCAGTTCAACTGGCCTCCACCATCCATCAGTACATGCAGTACACGTTGTTGTCCACCCTGGCTCGTCCCTCTGAATCCACCCAGCGAAGCGGAAGTCGGCCTTGAGATTCGACGCTTGAAGCGCTTCAAGGCTGCCGGATTAGACGGACTTCCTCCGGAGCTATTCAAGTACGGCGGTGTGGCGATCATTAACCAGCTGACCGCGCTGTTCGCAAAAATTTGGCATGAAGAGAAAGTGCCTTCCTCTTGGGGAGAATCAGTCATTATCCCGATTTTCAAGAAAGGCGCTCGCACTTCATGTGCAAATCATCGCGGGATTAGTCTTATTTCGGTTGCCTCTAAACTATTGGCATCCATTCTGCTTCGCAGGCTATCCCCAGTACGTGAATCATACTACCGTGAAGAACAAGCTGGTTTCCGTCCTGGCCGCGGATGTGTGGATCAAATCTTCACGCTCCGCCAGCTCCTCGAACATCGCCACATTTATCACAGGCCCACTATCATTGCATTTCTAGACATACGTGCCGCTTTTGACTCCGTTGATCGTCCTGCTTTATGGCGTTGCTTACTAAAGAACGGGGTGCCAGAGAAATATACCGCCATCTTACGAGCACTTTACCTTCATACATGCGGCAGAGTGAGGGTCTATGGCAAGATTTCCTCGCAATTCACTGTCAATAGCGGTGTGCGACAGGGCTGCCCTATGTCCCCATTCCTCTTCAACTTCGCAATTGAAGACGTTCTGTCGAATGCTCTAGAAGGTTTCCAACATTTTGGCTTAGAGCTTCTACCGGGTGAGCGCGCGACCGACTTAGATTATGCTGATGATATCGCCTTACTTGGTGACGATCCTCAGAGTATGCAACTCATTCTGGATCGTTTGGCGGTTGAAGCATCTAAGTATGGTATGAGCTTCGCCCCATCGAAGTGTAAAATACTGCTCAAAGATTGGCATTCGCCTGCTCCCGTACTCACTCTCGATGGTGCACAACTTGAACAGGTAGATAGTTTCGTCTACCTTGGGAGCTGTATTTCTGCCGATGGCACTATCAACAAAGAAGTTTCTCTTCGTATCGCTAAAGCTCGATCGGCATTTGTCAATTTGAGGCACTTGTGGCGTCGTCGCGACGTCTCATTCTCACTAAAGGGCCGAGTTTACAGTGCATCAGTTCGCTCAATATTGTTGTATAGGTGCGAGTCCTGGCCGCTTCGCGTGGAAGACATGCGTCGTCTTTCTGCGTTCGATAGCGGTTGCTTAAGGAGGATCGCGCGTGTTTGGTGGCAACATCGAGTAAATAGTAATGACGTTCGACGTCGCGTCTTGGGGAATGCGAGTATTCCCTTCAACAAACTGGTTTTGTCGCGCCAGTTGAGATGGCTCGGTCACGTTCTACGCATGACACCTGAGCGTCTACCGCGTCGCGCTCTATTCGCTCGTCAAGGACCTGGCTGGAGGCGACCGCGTGGTGGTCACCCTTCCACTTGGCGGCAGCACATGAAATCGCTGACGTCGTGTCTAGCCGCTGTAGGATCCGTACGTCTTCCAGGATGGGGACCCAAAGATGAGGAGTGCCAATGGCTTAGCACTCTTGAAGATATGGCCCGCAACCGGAATCAGTGGAAGAATTGTGTACATTATTGTATTGATTCACATGTTTAATTCTACAAACATTAAAATGACAAAAAAAGAACAAAAGCGGCGTGTGAAAAACAAACTAAAAATGTTTGTTCTGCTTTTTATCAAAATGTTCCATTCTTCCTGCGGCATATTAGTTGAAGTGTGTTGCTCACCTTCAACTAGCATGCCACGATGATTATGACGCCATGAATCTTGCTTATCTCCTTATCTCCATGGTTTTAGGCTGGCTCTTTGTCTAGCTAATAGACTGTTGAGAATACATACATACATACGCCTCCGCCTTGGCGACCAACGGAGCGATCAGTTCTAAGCAGCGCGTAGCCAGGTAAATATACCTCACCGTCCGTGATATCCGGAGACAACCACGTCTCAGTGAAAGCAAGTATGTCGGGACGAGATTTGTCTACAAGTAGACCCAAGTCGTGCACCTTGTTCCTTAGGCTACGCACGTTGCTAAGTACTACCTCAAGGAAGTCGGCACGACCATCCCTGGGTCGTGCGCCATCAGGATAGGTTCTGATAGGGCGGAAAGCAATTTCCGGCTGACCACCTGAAAACCCACCAGACGCAGGCCTAGTTCACCAGCCGCCCGTCTAGTTTTGAGGTCTTCGATAGCCTCCTTTAACTTCCATCTATCCGCCAGCGGTAGATCCGACTGAACGCTGACACCACTACCCTTAAATTTGAATGCAAATCGCAGTAACGATTTGCGTTCCTCCGGGGTAGAAAGGACTACGCGAAGTAGTCGGGGTCGTGGATTTGGCGTAGCGATAGGAACGTTCCCCAATCTGGTCAGCTTTCTGACAGTGACACCAGGGAAACCAGGTGGAAGCAGCTTGCTGACACACAGTTTCAGCCACTTGATGTCATCCAAGATGCGTTCCCTTGGGAGAACAGCCTCAGATTCAGTAACGTTACGGAATATAACGCTACTATCAGTGAAAGAGTCGGCACGACGGGGAGTGTTTACCCCACGTGCCTTTGATTCGACACCTATACCAGCTGTTTTCACCACTGGCGGTGGAACTGTCGCTGGCTTCCCAAACGACGTCGAAGCAACGGTAGCGTAGGTTTTCCGCTCTATTGCCGGCGTCTTACTGGTTCCAGGGTCTTCAAGCCCCTTCGAAGTTTTACGAGCAGATCTTGTCCGCTTCTTCTTTTGGCTCACTGGAGCAGGGGCCGTTGACTTTGTATCGCATTGGGCAGTTACCAGCATTTCGTCAGAACAGGCTGGTTCACTGGCGGCCGAGACAGTCAGCGTCTGTGGAAAGTTCTGTGTGCAATCTTCAGACGACTTTACGACTGCCAAAGACGGCATCTCGTTCGATGCCGTGGCAACTATTTCTCTGGGTTTAGCAGAGGGCTTTTGGTATTTCCGCACCCTATTTTTCTTCACTTTGATCGGATCATGAGGACCGCCAGCAATGCTACCTGGATTGACCGGTAGGATGTGCGACTTTATGATCGAGTGACAGACTCCAGTGGATGGATCGTCAGCAATGTTGCCGGCTATTGCTGTGTCTTCAAACGAAAGATTTAGGGATTTTAAAATTAAATCCATTTTCGTATCGAGCGACGCAATAGAGGCGAGTTTGGCTATCGCCAACTCAACATCTGCCAACCTTGAAGCCAACGCTGAAAGTTTAGCACCGGTGACAGCCGGGCGCGTCGATCTATTAGCGCAGCATTCAGCGCAGCTGAAAAGAAAGTGGACGCTTGATGATAGCATTTGGTACTGGTCAGCTTGTAGGCCGGTACAGCTTTCGTGATACCAGCGGCAGCAGACGTCACACTGCATACCACCAGATGCATCTGTTACTGGCTCTGAACAGTTAACCTGTCCGCAAGCTGCAGTAGACTCATCAAACGAGGACCCCATAGGTCCATCGGTCTCGGTGTTTAGCGAGACAGCCATGTTCATGTGGAAAACAGATAAGAATAACAACACGTATACAATAGGAAAACGACCGCAATAAAAAGGCAAAAACAGGGTGTAAAACGGGATTAAAACTGGGAACAACCGGAAAAATTACCAGTAAGCGTCAAAGACGCTTGGGCCAGTACCAATTTAATCGATCCAAGATTTCTTGGATCAGAGAAAATTTGACAATAGTCAAATTTCGTTCCAAGTGTTTATTCAAACACTGTTTTCCACGTTATTTCAGCTGAAAAGCTCGATCAGTATGGCACGCCAAAAAATCGAGTTACCGCGTAGTACTCACAGAGCCTTGCACACTGTAACTTCGCACGTTTGTGCGGATCACTGTACGTTACGTTACTATTTGTATGGGTCTCTAAGCCGCCGTAATAGCTCCACTGGATTTCATACATGTTCGAACGATAAGCTCTACCACTGTCAAAGGATCGCCCAGCCAATAACTTAAGCGCATATTAAACCACTTACTATGTTCATCTGATTACATCAACTCCGTTACCTGTGTAGCGCTTGTACATATCTTTCTTTCCAATTGTACTTTCCTATTCTCACTTCCATTATTATTGTACAGTTTTGTTTTAACTGACCAACGACCGATACAACACTTTTTTGGGTTTCGATTCGCCTTCTGGTTCAAGTTCAAAATCAAGTTCAAGCGGGACTGGAACGATAGGATAGATCCCGTGAGTGTTCCTTCTTCGGCGGGTCGTTGAACCAGGAGTTGGCGAACTTTGAAATACTGATGGACCTAAAACAAAGAGCGCAACACACCCTGTCCAACCAATTAATGCCCACGTATCCTGCCCTAGCCGTCCCTGCTGGGTCGGTTACGTGAAGTAAGAAAGAGAAAAAAGTAAACGCAGAAGGCAAAAGAGAAAGTGGTAAGAGCTAAGCAATTGGAATACCAAGATATTTGGTTTCCGCTACGCGTGTTGTGCTGTTGGTCGTCGTCTGTCTGCTGGCCTCGTCCATCGATCATCGGATCTAACGCGTCGATTTATTGTGCCGACTAAGTTCCGTCTTCCGACCAGATTGTGCGACTAACTGACAGCCTAGCGAAGATCGTGCTTTACCTAAGGTCAGCTACAGCATTCTTATTTATAGACTGAGTTCTTATATGTAGTTAAGCTCTTTCCGTGTGGCCTTTTCCACTACATATTTGGTGACCCCGTTTTCTTTTTTTTGAAAGCTCAGAACTCCTTTTTTGTGTGACTTGACTATGTCAGACCACGATCCACGCACTGACATTTCAGAAAATTTTGTTGGTTTTTCCTTCCCTGCCTTCGATTCTTCTAATCCTCACGTGTGGTTTTTACAGTTGGAAGCTCTTTTTCGCATACGCCGTATTACTTCTCAGTCCTTAATGTTCGCACATGTCACTGCCCAGCTTCCTACCCACATCGCAACTGACCTTATAGACTTGCTCGATCCGATTCCGGCTGACGCACCCTACGATAAACTAAAAGCCGCCGTATTAAAGCGCACCACGGCCTCCGACGAAGCTAGACTTCGACAATTACTTTCCGGTCTTGAACTAGGTGATCGCACGCCATCACAACTACTCAGGCACATGCGTACGTTGGTCGGTTCCTCTAAGGTCGATGACACGATTCTGCGACAGCTCTGGACGAAATGTCTTCCATCGAACACCTCAGCTCTTCTCGCCGTCTTCGCAGATGATTTGTCTTTGGACAAGCTGGCTGAAACAGCAGACAAAGTTCATGAGTACTTTCATAAACCCGCAGCATGTCACGCAGTTGAGTCGACCCCTAACGCCGATCTTAAAACTGACCCGATTGAAACCATTTCTGAGAGGTTATCGAAACTGGAGCTCGCCATCTTGAGCATTAATCGCTACCGTGGTAGAAGCCCTAGACGCTCCTCTCGAAGTAGACGTAGTCCCGCCAGGAGTTCGAAACGTCATTTCTGCTGGTACCACTACCGTTTTGGCGATGATGCAAGGAATTGCCGACCTGGTTGTAACCATCCGAAGGCATTCCACAAACCGCAGCAGGGAAACCTCCACGCCAGCCAGTGATGGCGACGGCTGCGTCTGGCCAATCTTACAGTCGCCTACTTTACGTCTACGATTCCTCAACCAATTTGAACTTCTTGGTTGACACCGGTGCCGAGGTCAGCGTTATTCCTCGTTCTGCAGAAAAACGCAACCTACTTCCAACCGGACTGACATTGCAGGTGGCGAACAATACCAAGATCCATACATACGGCCAGAAAATGTTGACTCTTAACCTTGGTCTTCGTCGAAGTTTTCCCTTTGTTTTCCTCATCGCTGACGTCCAACGCCCCATCCTTGGTGTTGATTTCCTTACCAAGTTTGGCCTGATCGTGGACCTGCGTAACCGTAAACTATGCGATAGTTTGACATCCTTGTCCGTTTCGGGTAAAGTCACTTCGATCAGTTCGATCGGTCTTCGCTTGGCATTGCCCGCCGACAATGTGTTTACCAAACTATTACTGCAGTTTCCTGCTCTTTGTCAATCGCCTAATGACTTTCCTGAGCCTAAGCACGAAGTTACGCACCACATCATAACACATGGACCGCCAGTAACCGCCCGACCTCGACGATTACCTCCAGACAAGCTCGCTACTGCCAAGGCAGAGTTCGAACATATGCTTCGTCTCGGTATCGTTCGTCCTTCCAATAGCCCATGGTCCTCCCCGCTTCATATGGTTCCCAAAAAGTCCAGTGGCGACTGGAGACCTTGCGGAGATTACCGTGCACTAAACAATGCCACCGTCCCCGATAGATATCCGGTTCCGCACATCCATGATTTTTCAACTGGTTTACATGGAAGAACAGTTTTCTCTAAGATTGACTTGGTGCGTGCATACCACCAAATTCCGGTTGCTCCCGACGATATTCCGAAGACCGCTATAACCACGCCTTTTGGTCTTTATGAATTCGTTCGCATGCCATTTGGTCTACGAAATGCCGCACAGACTTTCCAAAGGTTTATCGATCAAGTTCTTAGAGGGCTCGACTTCGTCTACGCCTACATTGACGATATTCTTGTGGCCAGTTCCAATCATGATGAGCATCTGTCACATCTCCGATCGATCTTCGAACGCTTTGCTCAGTACGGCGTTACGATCAATGTTGACAAATGTGTTTTTGGCCAAAGTTCTGTTGATTTTTTGGGCCACCGAATTGATTGCAATGGTATTAGTCCACTCCCCGAGAAAGCACAAGCGATTGCAGACTACCCAATGCCTCAATCTTTCAAAAGACTTCGTCGTTTTCTCGGCATGGTGAATTACTACAGCCGTTTCATACCAGATTGCTCTGGGCTACTCCAGCCATTGACCGATTTACTTAAAGGCAAGTCACGGAAATTCGAGCCAACTCAGGAAGCTATCGATGCATTCGACAAGATCAAGCACGCGTTGTCCAACGCTACCGCGCTTAGTCATTTGAGGACTGATGTTGACGCCACTCTGATCCTCAAGACCGATGCATCTCAGACCGCCGTTGGGGCTGTTCTCCAGCAGGTAATCAACGGTCAACCTGAGCCGCTATCGTTCTTCTCTCGTAAACTCCAGCCAGCACAGACGCGATACAGCACATTCGGTCGAGAACTTTTAGCTATCTACCTTGCTATCAAACATTTTCGGCACCTGCTTGAAGGTCGCACTTTTACCATTCTTACAGACCATAAACCACTTGCCTTTGCTTTCCGTGGTTCATCCGACCGTTTCTCCCCCAGAGAAATTCGTCATTTGGATTATATTTCACAGTTTTCTACCGACATTCGCCATGTCGATGCTGCCAATAACATTGTCGCCGATGCCATGTCACGTATATGTCTTCACGAAGTTTCACGGCAGAAGATTAACTTAGAAGACATAGCAGCTCATCAGGAAGGAGATCCTGAGTTTGTGCAACTGAGATCAAATCCGTCGATCAAAATCTCACAGTTGCCAATTCTTAACTCAGACTCCAAAATTTACTGTGATATTTCCACTGGCAAGCCCCGGCCTTTTGTCCCTCAGCAGTACCGCCGAATCGTCTTTGACCACCTGCATGGAATCTCACACCCGAGCATCCGAGCCACCGTCAAGCTAATTACTGATCGCTTCATTTGGCACAACATGCGCTCCGAGATCCAGCAGTGGGCCAAACATTGTATCACTTGCCAAACCAGCAAGATCCACCGTCACACGATTACCGTCCCCGGCACGTTTGCTCTTCCCGACGCTCGTTTCAAACATGTTCATCTTGACATCGTTGGACCCTTGCCTCCATCCAACGGTTTTGTCTACTTATTGACATGTGTTGATCGTTATACGCGTTGGCCACTTGCCGTGCCTTTACGTGATGCTTCTACAGAAACGGTGGCGCGAACATTCATTGAGAATTGGATTTCCGTCTTTGGCACGCCAGCCACTATTACTACCGATAGAGGGTCCCAATTCAATTCGGCCTTGTTTCGTGACATGAACCGCTTGCTCGGTTGTTCCCACCTACGGACAACCGCCTATCACCCAGCTGCTAATGGCATCGTTGAACGTTTCCATCGTCAACTTAAAGCTGCACTTACTGCTTCACAGTCGAACTCACAATGGTCAGAACGTCTACCGATTATCTTGCTTGGTATTCGTAACACCATTAAAGAAGACATTGGCTGTTGTCCCGCTGAGTTGGTCTTTGGCACTACTCTGAGGCTTCCTGGAGAAATGGTGCTAGACTCAAGGGTTACTGGAGAAGTTGATCCGACCTCGTACGTCACACGCCTGAGGCAGCACTTCAGTTCAATTCGTCCAACGCCACCTCGAATCAGTCCTCGGAGTCAACAGGTACACCCGGATTTGCGCACTTGCCCCTTCGTTCTCGTGCGCGTCGATTCCGTCCGTAAACCTCTGACACCGCCTTACGAGGGCCCCTTCAAGGTTGTTGCCCGGAAAGAGAAGTACTTCGTGCTGGATAGAAATGGTTATCAGGATACTGTGTCTATTGACCGCCTGAAGCCGGCGTACATCGAGTCGCGATCTATACCGAAACCCACGGACATTCCTGTCACCGACCAGCCCACCTTCCCAAGTACGCCTCCTACTCAGCCCATGTCTGACACCTCTGTTCCCTCTTCTGCACCCCAAGCATCTCACGACACAAACTCGAAATCGCATCATCGAACACGCTTCGGACGTACAGTTGTTCTCCCTTCCAGACTACGGTAAATGACACCCAAGTATCGAGCTTTCGTCTCAGTGACTCACGCTCTAGGGGGGGGAGTTCTGTAGCGCTTGTACATATCTTTCTTCCCAATTGTACTTTCCTATTCTCACTTCCATTATTATTGTACAGTTTTGTTTTAACTGACCAACAACCGATACAACACTTTTTCGGGTTTCGATTCGCCTTCTGGTTTCGGCTACGCGTGTTGTGCTGTTGGTCGTCGTCTGTCTGCTGGCCTCGTCCATCGATCATCGGATCTAACGCGTCGATTTATTGTGCCGACTAAGTTCCGTCTTCCGACCAGATTGTGCGACTAACTGACAGCCTAGCGAAGATCGTGCTTTACCTAAGGTCAGCTACAGCATTCTTATTTATAGACTGAGTTCTTATATGTAGTTAAGCCCTTTCCGTTTGGCCTTTTCCACTACATATTTGGTGACCCCGTTTTCTTTTTTTTGAAAGCTCAGAACTCCTTTTTTGTGTGACTTGACTATGTCGGACCACGATCCCCGCACTGACATTTCAGAAAATTTTGTTGGTTTTTCCTTCCCTGCCTTCGATTCTTCTAATCCTCACGTGTGGTTTTTACAGTTGGAAGCTCTTTTTCGCATACGCCGTATTACTTCTCAGTCCTTAATGTTCGCACATGTCACTGCCCAGCTTCCTACCCACATCGCAACTGACCTTATAGACTTGCTCGATCCGATTCCGGCTGACGCACCTTACGATAAACTCAAAGCCGCCGTATTAAAGCGCACCACGGCCTCCGACGAAGCTAGACTTCGACAATTACTTTCCGGTCTTGAACTAGGTGATCGCACGCCATCACAACTTCTCAGGCACATGCGTACGTTGGTCGGTTCCTCTAAGGTCGATGACACGATTCTGCGACAGCTCTGGACGAAATGTCTTCCATCGAACACCTCAGCTCTTCTCGCCGTCTTCGCAGATGATTTGTCTTTGGACAAGCTGGCTGAAACAGCAGACAAAGTTCATGAGTACTTTCATAAACCCTCAGCATGTCACGCAGTTGAGTCGACCACTAACGCGGATCTTAGGACTGACCCGATTGAAACCATTTCTGAGAGGTTATCGAAGCTGGAGCTCGCCATCTCGAGCATTAATCGCTACCGTGGTAGAAGCCCTAGACGCTCCTCTCGAAGTAGACGTAGTCCCGCCAGGAGTTCGAAACGTCATTTCTGTTGGTACCACCACCGTTTTGGCGATGATGCAAGGAATTGCCGACCTGGTTGTAACCATCCGAAGGCATTCCACAAACCGCAGCAGGGAAACCTCCACGCCAGCCAGTGATGGCGACGGCTGCGTCTGGCCAATCTTACAGTCGCCTACTTTACGTCTACGATTCCTCAACCAATTTGAACTTCTTGGTTGACACCGGTGCCGAGGTCAGCGTTATTCCTCGTTCTGCAGAAAAACGCAACCTACTTCCAACCGGACTGACATTGCAGGCGGCGAATAATACCAAGATCCATACATACGGCCAGAAAATGTTGACTCTTAACCTTGGTCTTCGTCGAAGTTTTCCCTTTGTTTTCCTCATCGCTGACGTCCAACGCCCCATCCTTGGTGTTGATTTTCTTACCAAGTTTGGCCTGATCGTGGACCTGCGTAACCGTAAACTATGCGATAGTTTGACATCCTTGTCCGTTTCGGGTAAAGTCACTTCGATCAGTTCGATCGGTCTTCGCTTGGCATTGCCCGCCGACAATGTGTTTACCAAACTATTACTGCAGTTTCCTGCTCTTTGTCAATCGCCTAATGACTTTCCTGAGCCTAAGCACGAAGTTACGCACCACATCATAACACATGGACCTCCAGTAACCGCCCGACCTCGACGATTACCTCCAGACAAGCTCGCTACTGCCAAGGCAGAGTTCGAACATATGCTTCGTCTCGGTATCGTTCGTCCTTCCAATAGCCCATGGTCCTCCCCGCTTCATATGGTTCCCAAAAAGTCCAGTGGCGACTGGAGACCTTGCGGAGATTACCGTGCACTAAACAATGCCACCGTCCCCGATAGATATCCGGTTCCGCACATCCATGATTTTTCAACTGGTTTACATGGAAGAACAGTTTTCTCTAAGATTGACTTGGTGCGTGCATACCACCAAATTCCGGTTGCTCCCGACGATATTCCGAAGACCGCTATAACCACGCCTTTTGGTCTTTATGAATTCGTTCGCATGCCATTTGGTCTACGAAATGCCGCACAGACTTTCCAAAGGTTTATCGATCAAGTCCTTAGAGGGCTCGACTTCGTCTACGCCTACATTGACGATATCCTTGTGGCCAGTTCCAATCATGATGAGCATCTGTCACATCTCCGATCGATCTTCGAACGCTTTGCTCAGTACGGCGTTACGATCAATGTTGACAAATGTGTTTTTGGCCAAAGTTCTGTTGATTTTTTGGGCCACCGAATTGATTGCAATGGCATTAGTCCACTCCCCGAGAAAACACAAGCGATTGCAGACTATCCCATGCCTCAATCTTTCAAAAGTCTCCGTCGTTTTCTCGGCATGGTGAATTACTACAGCCGTTTCATACCAGATTGCTCTGGGCTACTCCAGCCATTGACCGATTTACTTAAAGGCAAGTCACGGAAATTCGAGCCAACTCAGGAAGCTATCGATGCATTCGACAAGATCAAGCACGCGTTGTCCAACGCTACCGCGCTTAGTCATTTGAGGACTGATGTTGACGCCACTCTGATCCTCAAGACCGATGCATCTCAGACCGCCGTTGGGGCTGTTCTCCAGCAGGTAATCAACGGTCAACCTGAGCCGCTATCGTTCTTCTCTCGTAAACTCCAGCCAGCACAGACGCGATACAGCACATTCGGTCGAGAACTTTTAGCTATCTACCTCGCTATCAAACATTTTCGGCACCTGCTTGAAGGTCGCACTTTTACCATTCTTACAGACCATAAACCACTTGCCCTTGCTTTCCGTGGTTCATCCGACCGTTTCTCCCCCAGAGAAATTCGTCATTTGGATTATATTTCACAGTTTTCCACCGACATTCGCCATGTCGATGCTGCCAATAACGTTGTCGCCGATGCCATGTCGCGTATATGTCTTCACGAAGTTTCACGGCAGAAGATTAACTTAGAAGACATAGCAGCTCATCAGGAAGGAGATCCTGAGTTTGTGCAACTGAGATCAAATCCGTCGATCAAAATCTCACAGTTGCCAATTCTTAACTCAGACTCCAAAATTTACTGTGATACTTCTACTGGCAAGCCCCGGCCTTTTGTCCCTCAGCAGTACCGCCGAATCGTCTTTGACCACCTGCATGGAATCTCACACCCGAGCATCCGAGCCACCGTCAAGCTAATTACTGATCGCTTCATTTGGCACAACATGCGCTCCGAGATCCAGCAGTGGGCCAAACATTGTATCACTTGCCAAACCAGCAAGATCCACCGTCACACGATTACCGTCCCCGGCACGTTTGCTCTTCCCGACGCTCGTTTCAAACATGTTCATCTTGACATCGTTGGACCCTTGCCTCCATCCAACGGTTTTGTCTACTTATTGACATGTGTTGATCGTTATACGCGTTGGCCACTTGCCGTGCCTTTACGTGATGCTTCTACAGAAACGGTGGCGCGAACATTCATTGAGAATTGGATTTCCGTCTTTGGCACACCAGCCACTATTACTACCGATAGAGGCTCCCAATTCAATTCGGCCTTGTTTCGTGACATGAACCGCTTGCTCGGTTGTTCCCACCTACGGACAACCGCCTATCACCCAGCTGCTAATGGCATCGTTGAACGTTTCCATCGTCAACTTAAAGCTGCACTTACTGCTTCACAGTCGAACTCACAATGGTCAGAACGTCTACCGATTATCTTGCTTGGTATCCGTAACACCATTAAAGAAGACATTGGCTGTTGTCCCGCTGAGTTGGTCTTTGGCACTACTCTGAGGCTTCCTGGAGAAATGGTGCTAGACTCAAGGGTTACTGGAGAAGTTGATCCGACCTCGTACGTCACACGCCTGAGGCAGCACTTCAGTACAATTCGTCCAACGCCACCTCGAATCAGTCCTCGGAGTCAACAGGTACACCCGGATTTGCGCACTTGCCCCTACGTTCTCGTGCGCGTCGATTCCGTCCGTAAACCTCTGACACCGCCTTACGAGGGCCCCTTCAAGGTTGTTGCCCGGAAAGAGAAGTACTTCGTGCTGGATAGAAATGGTTATCAGGATACTGTGTCTATTGACCGCCTGAAGCCGGCGTACATCGAGTCGCGACCTATACCGAAACCCACAGACATTCCTGTCACCGACCAGCCCACCTTCCCAAGTACGCCTCCTACTCAGCCCATGTCTGACACCTCTGTTCCCCCTTCTGCACCCCAAGCATCTCACGACACAAACTCGAAATCGCATCGTCGAACACGCTTCGGACGTACAGTTGTTCTCCCTTCCAGACTACGGTAAATGACACCCAAGTATCGAGCTTTCGTCTCACTGACTCACGCTCTAGGGGGGAGTTCTGTAGCGCTTGTACATATCTTTCTTCCCAATTGTACTTTCCTATTCTCACTTCTATTATAATTGTACAGTTTTGTTTTAACTGAACAACGACCGATACAACACATTTTCGGGTTTCGATTCGCCTTCTGGTTTCCGCTACGCGTGTTGTGCTGTTGGTCATCGTCTGTCTGCTGGCCTCGTCCGTCGATTATCGGATCTAACGCGTCGATTTATTGTGCCGACTAAGTTCCGTCTTCCGGCCAGATTGTGCGACTAACTGACAGCCTAGCCAGGATCGTGCTATACCTAAGGTCAGCTACAGCATTCCTATTTATAGACTGAGTTCTTATTTGTAGCTAAGCCCTTTCCGTTTGGCTTTTCCACTACATATTTGGTGACCCCGTTTTCTTTTTTTTGAAAGCTCAGAACTCCTTTTTTGTGTGACTTGACTATGTCGGACCACCATCCCCGCACTGACATTTCAGAAAATTTTGTTGGTTTTTCCTTCCCTGCCTTCGATTCTTCTAATCCTCACGTGTGGTTTTTACAGTTGGAAGCTCTTTTTCGCATACGCCGTATTAGTTCTCAGTCCTTAATGTTCACACATGTCACTTCCCAGCTTCCTACCCACATCGCAACTGACCTTATAGACTTGCTCGATCCGATTCCGGCTGACGCACCTTACGACAAACTCAAAGCCGCCGTATTAAAGCGCACCACGGCCTCCGACGAAGCTAGACTTCGACAATTACTTTCCGGTCTTGAACTAGGTGATCGCACGCCATCGCAACTTCTCAGGCACATGCGTACGTTGGCCGGTTCCTCTAAGGTCGATGACACGATTCTTCGACGGCTTTGGACGAAATGTCTTCCATCGAACACCTCAGCTCTTCTCGCCGTCTTCGCAGATGATTTGTCTTTGGACAAGCTGGCTGAAACAGCAGACAAAGTTCATGAGTACTTTCATAAACCCTCAGCATGTCACGCAGTTGAGTCGACCACTAACGCGGATATTAGGACTGACCACACACAGACTGTGAGTGAATTGATAAAGTATAACAACAACAGATAATGGCGCTGGAGAGAGCATCAGTGGCCAGCAATGGCAATTGGATTAGGCGTTCAAGTTACTATACGCTACGCAGTGTCACAAGATTATTCAAAAAACCAGCTTATGTACGTGATGCGAACAGCTCGTTTCGTCCGTAGTATGAAGCGAAATTTGCTGCGTATGCAGTGAGTTGCATTGCAGGTGCAATGAAGCTC